ACTACAGACCTTGATCCTTCTGATTTTCATCTGTTTGGATCATTTAAGGAGACTCTGGGAGGTTACTGATTTTCAGATGAAGATACAGGGAAGTAAGTGGTGCATTACTGGCTCTGCACTCGACCAAAAAATGTTTCTCTTTGTGGTACAGCAAAACTTGTAGACTGCTGGATTAAGTGTATTGACAAGCAGGAAGACGACATATAAACAGGATAAAACTAAACATTCAAAGTAAATTAAGTATAAAGAAAAATAATAATTATGGCTATCTTTGAATAGCTCTCATACATAAAATAAATACAATTAGGCAAGGGAGTACTTTCTAGACTGAAACCAGCATTTTAAATGCCAAGACACCAACTAACTGATACAGAACGAACACACCAATAACACTATTTAAGATAATTCCTGAACTGTTCATCATAATTTTTTATTAGATATAAGAATAAGTTTACTACATATTTTATATAAACACGTCCGATCCCTATAAACCTAGCACTTTCCGCTCGATTGGCTCATTCATCGCCCTGATGATGGAGGCAGTATGACCTCTGAAACGATGGTGGACATCTACCAAACTACATGACGCAACAACCCAGAAGACAGCAATCTTCAAAGTTGATATAATTGGCAATTCAAGATTTTGTTTAAAAAAAGTATCATCAGGTCACAGATTGACTCTTAAGTTTTAATTTTCCAGCCAATTGCTATCAAGCATGTCACAGAATTAAAGTGAGAAGTGTATTAGTTACAAGTCTACTGCATGATTTTCTTATGCCTTAAAATGGTGAGCAATATTTACACAGACACTAAATTAGAAACCATTAATCCTTACCCCTACCCTTCTCAAGTTCACCCTTGCAGTGAAGAAGCTAAACTTAGAATTCTTTGTAAGGGTTAGCCCTCCACCCATGAATACTGAAGCCACAAATAGACACCACCAATCTTAAGAGAAGTTTGCCGTGGTATAATATTCCCCTCCACAAAGAGTTTGAAATTCTTCTGAGTAACCATCTTGTCAACTTTTTCTAGCCACCATTAAGGTCAAAGTACTTCTGTTACATTGTGGAAGAGGAGTTTAGAATTAAAATAGCAACGTGAGTGGAAAATACAAGTTCAGGTTTCTGTTTCTTATCTTGAGGGGGAATGTTTCACTAGTCTACACTAATTTAATACATTTTTTGCTACACTGAGCTTCGTATCTTTTAAACCTTCAGCGCAGACTTCATTCCTAAACATCTCTCCTTTATTTGTTACAAGACCTTGAACATGCTGTCCAGAAGATTAAAAATAAACAAGTTTAATATCAAAATAGACTTTGGAGGCAAATCATCCCATTGATTAGAGACATTTATTCATACTGGTCTGTATCAGAGCCAAAATTCACGCAGTTTCCAATGCATATGTTTACGAAGACAAGAAATCCCCTTTTTAAATACACAATTTTTATGACAACTAGGCGCAAATGAGAGGAATAATGTATCTTACGGAAATGGTTTACAAAGATGTGAATGGGATTATGTTGCTTCAGTATGTATGCTGTCGCGTTCCATTAACATGTAATTTCTTAATGAGCCAAACAACTGTGAATTACTCAAGCATAACACTTCAGTGCTGTCCTCATGCACGATACAATTTCACTTCTACTTATGAATCAGCAAGTCTATACAATGAACTACATTTAATAATTGTTTTGTCGAAACACAACAGAATCATATTGAAATATGTACATCCTCAGTTTTACACTCTGGCTGACCTTCTACTTAGGTTGGCCCTAGAGTCAGCCCGGATGTGGTGCCAAAGAGAAAAATCCCTGCCCCTGTCAGCTTCCACCTAATCAATTTATTGACCTCAGCTCATAATTGGAAGTAGTGGATTCAGTTATGTTTGTATATGCCATTATGTTAATGGTATTCATGGGGACTCAAGGACAGGCACGTGTGCTAACAGCAAAGGAAAGAAATTCACACTTCCGTAATGTTCGAGTCTGCTTCGGCGCAAACATTAGCTCACAGTAGGAAAATACCAAAACGGTATTTATGAAAAATCTGAAACTGCAGAACATGTGTAAACCTAGAGCATATTCTGTGTTCCTTTATGCTTATTACAACATATTAGAATCATCTCAATTCTTTATGAAAATTATAATTATTAAGTAATTCAATTTAATTACATATTTCTTACGTAATGATACTTTCTTAACATATTGTCATAATGTTAAATGCCTAGAGTTAAATTTGGTTTGGTATTTTGGAAGCATCGTGATTTTCCATCTGTGTACAATTTCAACAAAAACATTCATATGATCAATTAACAACAAATGGTCACCAAATCTGCCTGAATTAATTTCAGACCATACTGAATTGTGAGAACCTGAAATTTCAAAATCTGTGGTTATTTTAACATTATTAAATAATATAAAACCACCCATATTTAACAATATGTGAATCCTCGCTTGTAAAACAAATTTCCAATGTCTACTGTTACCAGAGTAATATCAGTTTGTTAAAATTAGTTTCTTTTTGTTTCTCTAAATACAGGCACAGAATGTAGTTTAACCCTTTAAACTTACATCCATTACATACGAATATGAAGTACTAACCCCTACCATATTCCTTCCGAGTCTCACAAATTCACACAAACATTAACACGAAGATAGGCGCCATCAGAATAAAAAGAGGAGGGTAACTGTTGAATTTTCAGTCTGATCAAGTGGCATTAATACAAGGACAGGTAACCAGAAATCTGATGAAGTGCTGAGAGGCTATTTCCATTCTAGTGGCACCCTGCCAAAAAAGAGAAGAGGCCCAACGCTGACATGTGAGAGCACGAACACCAACAAATGGATGCGAGTGTGAGGAAAGAATTAAAACCAGCTAAATTTGCCAAAAATGTGAATAAACACCAGGGCTGTGAAGTCGGAGTCGGTAAAAATGTACCGACTCCGACCTCGATATAAAAATCTTAAGAACAATTTCTATACCGTGTAGGGTGATTCAACGACCCGTTGAGCCACGTGGTGTGGGAATAATGATTTGTAGCTTTGGCTCCGGTACCTTAAGAATACAGACTGTCTACAAATCAACAGATTTCTGTAATAACAATTAGACGTATACTTAAATATAGGTTATAAGTCTAAAAGAAGTAGGCTGATGATTCACTTAGTGGTGAAGAAATCTCTTATGGTGTCATTTACCATTTTAGTAGGTTTACCCTTATTAATACATATTGAGCTTTTATGAAGGGGTCGGAGTCGGAGTCGAAGCCGGAGTCAGTGTCGGAGTCGAAGATTTTAGTACGGACTCCACAGTCTTTGACACGAAAATATAAGTACCGCGGTTTTCCGAGTAGAGGCCTTTCAAATTTTCAAGGTATTAGAGAAAGTCATTTTTTTTTTCAAACGCATTTTTCCGCCGATCTGCAGGAATCTCAGTGACCATATTTATGTCCGTTTGAGGTCACGCACGGATACAGATTGAATCTGAAATTCAGATCGAAGTTACCGATATTTCGATTGCGATATTTTAGTTGCCGCTAAAAGATTCGTATCAGCAATTCATAAGCCTGATGATCAGCGTCAGTGACGTGTGCAAAAAACTCTAAACTGAAAATATGTCCACATCGGTTTGGAGTAACGAGACTTATGGTTGTCGATTGTTGATGGATGTCTTCTGAGACATTCTACCGAAACGTCGGCACACAGCCAAAACACTACAAGGCTCAACAATTCAGAAGACCACAATCATATCGTCAACAAAACCTAAAAATCTACACGTCGATTGTGGTTCGTTTTACCGACTGCAGCGCCATGCTCCCATAGTCTGTCGTACGAGTAAGTCGCCCAAGTGTTGTCGTCTGGCAAACAGAACCACTTCAACCACACACGCGCCGTATGGAAGATAAAAGGAAAACAGCTCTGTGCCTAATCTGCAAGCCACGGATCAGACAAGGAGGCGTGGAGGTAAAGCCTCGTGCGTATTA